CAGGATCATGACCTGAGCCGAAGGCAGTCGCTTAACCAACTGAGCCACCCAGGCGCCCCGCCCCTGATATTTTTTATAATAAAAATGTAAAGAACAAAAACAAAAACAAACCCACCCTGAAATTTGCATCTTGTTTAATTTGCAAGTCTTTCCCAGTAAGGGCTCTTATTTCTTGTGTGGTAAATTGCCTGTTAACTCCTTGGGGGTCTCAGCATCTTTGTTTTGTAGAGTTCATTTACAGCAGCTATTCTATAATCAGAATATTAATCCATTGTTATATAAATATTTTCTACTACTTTGATATTTGCTCTTTGTTTTTCCTTGTCTTTTTCAAGCAGACATTTTTAGTTGCCTCGTGGTCTCACTTCTTCCCTGTAGCTCCAAAGCTCCTGCCCCAGCAGGGACCTGTTCTGCCTCATGCCGCTGTCCTCATGAGCCTCACCCAGTACACATCGCCTGTTTTGGAGTCCAGCCGGTCACCAGCAACCCCCCCCACCAACAACCTCAGCCCTGTTGCTGGGCCCTCACTTTCCCTTGGGAACCCCAGCTCCCCTCTGCCCTGCTCCCTTCCCACCAGCCTTCTCTGGGGGCTTCTTTTTCTCTCCCCAGCTCAGCTCCCTGGCCTGGAAGGGAGTACCCACCTGCCCTGTTCCTCACTGTGGCCTGCAGCCGCTTCCCCACTCCTCTTTGCAGGAGTCCCAGCTGACACCAGCCATCCACTGTGCCCACCACCAACACCAGCCCTTGCTGTGGGCATCGCCCCATTGCTGCGCCAGGTCTGAATTCCTGGTGGTCTCAATTTCCTGTGACCACCCTTCAACTCCCTGCTCCTCAGTCTTGACCTCTTCTTCCTGCCAATGACCTCGTCCTCTGCCCCAGTTATGCCCTTGACCCTGTCACCATCTGTAACTGTCCCCCTTTACCCCCACTCTAGCATTTTCTCTCAACACCCCATTCTCAGATCATCACCTACTCCCCAGCTCAGTCCTGAAGATGCTGACCCCAGCACTCCGGAGCCCCCACACTGTCATGCCCTTACCCCTTCCTCACTCCATTTAGATTCCACAATCATTGTCACCTCTCCCTTGCATACCCTCTGGGCTCAGATGCCCCTTTCAGAAGCTCACCTGGCAAAAGCCCAAACCTGGATGAACCCAACCACTCTGCTTATCCCCACTGGCTTCCCTGCTGCTCCTCAAAAATATACATTCCTATCTCCTCTGGAATAGAGGCTAAAGCCCACAACTGTCTCCCAGGTCTGGCCTCTGCCCCCTCCTGCTCTCATGATCCAAGCTATCACCTGGTCTACTCATCTTTCTGGTTAGTATCTGTGTCCTGGGCTGGCCATGGGCTCTAGAAGCAGGTGGGGAGTGACTATTATGAGCTGTGAGTCTCACCTCACATTTGGGAAACAGAATGAGCAGATCATGGGTAGCCCACTATGCACACAGGATCCCAGCTGGCTTTCAGGAAAACACCCCATCCCATTCTACCGAAGAGAAGGCTGAGGAGGGGGGTGTTGGGGTACCAAGGAGCCAGGCCAAAAGAGGCTCCTAGCTAGGGTGGGATCCTGGTAAGCCGGGGGGGGGGGGAGATCCAGAAGGAGGAGTGGACCCTCTAGGCTAGGTTAGACTGGATTGGAGTCCTACTAGAGTGGAGGGGGGTGAGAAGGTGACCACAGGCCCCAGGAGTGAGCACACACAGGGATCCTGGCTCTGCTGGGGGCAGGTTGCTGGGGACATAATTCAGTGAGTCTTCCCTTTAAAGCCTGGCCTTTCAGCAACATGGGACCTGCTCAGGGCTGGAGGTGGCACGCCCAGAAGCAGAGGGAGATAGAGGGACATAGAACCAACACTGCATCCCCTCATCCCAGCTGGGTAAGAGGCTGGGCCCAGCTGCAACATGAACCAGGACAGAGGAAACAGTTTCTGAGGACCAGAGGCTCTATGGGGGCAGGGTGGACAGACCAACTCCCTGGGTGCTAAGGCCCTGAGGATTGGAGTAACCCTCAACTGGCTGAGTCCTCTGGGAGCCAAAGCATACTTGTCTCTCACCTTGTCCTCTCCTGCAACAAAGCCTTCCCACCAGGCCTCCAGCCCTCAGTGGGAGAGATTCAGGGTGGCCTCCGGTGGAAGACAGCTGAAACTTTCCAAAAGCATGAGAATCACCATCTCATGAGAATCACCGTCTCCTAGCTGGACCCCAGGACGGGCGCAGCGACCTTGGGATGCCGGCGGGGGCAAGAGGGGTGCTGGAAAGGAGGCGGGGTGAGGAGGCCCAAGTAATTGAGACTGGGCCGCATGTGTGTTCTGCACCCCGGCCACTGCGGACTGATGGCCAAGGCCTGTGCCCACCTGCCCCTCCCCGCCAGGCGCCCCGAGGGGCTGCGGACTCCACCTGAGCGAGCCCGATCAAGGGCCGCCCGAATAGTCCCCTCGGGAGCACCCGGCCGTGGGACACATGTGTCTGTGCCCTGACGCCTTGTCCATCAAGAGGGTTGGGAGCCAAGGGGGCGGGGAACTTGACAGAGAGAAGCAGGGACGTGAACAGCGAACCAGGGGATGGAGGGACGGGAGGATGGTTGGAGGAACAGAAAAATGACCGAAGAGGTGAAGGGGGCGGACAGAGGACGTGAACAAGAGGACGGGTAGCCGAGTGGAAGAATGAGGGAAGGGGCCAGGGAAACACGAGCATAAGGATAGAGTGACTGGGAGTAGAGGAGGGGACAGGGATGAAGTCAGAGAGGAGACAGGGGCGGGTTGTCCGGGAGGAGGTGTGGGGGGGTGGTGGCGCTTGGGAAGGGCCTGCGCCGGGCACGTCCAGCCCGCGCCCGGAGGGTTTGCCCGGTAATTAGGCCTCGGTCCAGATGGGCCCCCAGTCCCGCAATCAAAATGCTAATTGGCCCCGCGCCTCCGTCTGCGCCTCGGCCGGGCCCTCCTGGGAGGGAGCAGGGACTACAGGCTTGCCCGAGGGGGGGTCCCCGTCCCCGCCCCCACTTCAGGCCTCGCCGGCTGCGGCTCGGCGATAAGGGGGCGGTGACGCCCCGCCCCCGCCCCTCGGGAACGCCTGCCACGCAAGATGAATATGCAGCCGCGGCCGTGGCCAATGCCACAAAGCGGGCCTGTGGTCTCCGCCGCGTCCCCCGCGCGGGGCCAGCTTGCTCACACCCACACTCGCCCGCCTCCAGGGCCGAGGTGCGGGAGGAAGCGGGGCGCGGGGCAGGCGGCGGCGCGGCTCCGAGCTCAGCACTCCCGGCACGCCCCCGCACGCACGCTCCCGGAGCGGCCCGCCCGCCGCGCGCTCCCGGCCGGAGTCCGCGGTCCCGCCGTGCCGCCCTGCACAAGGTCACTGCGTGTAGCGACGGGTGCGCGCGCGCCCCCACCTTGCACGCGCTCCGGGCTCGGCCGCGCCCGGACACTCCCCCGAGCCACCCCTGCGACCTTGGTCTTCAGTGACAGCGGGCCGCGCGGAGGCGCGCTCTGAGCGTGGACTCCCGAACCACCCGACGCAGGCGAGGGAGGGGACAATGGCAGCTCCGGAACCTAATTGAGGACATATGTCCCCGCGCGCGGCCATTGTGCGGCCTGGAGCCCCCGACAGCCCCGCGCCCGGCCATTGGCGGCTGGGCCTGACGTCATGGGGGCTGCAAACTCGGGGCGGGCGGCCGCGGGAAGGGTTATCCGCCTGGTTGCGGGGCCGCCGCGGGGAGCTGCAGCCGCGCGGAAGGGTGTAAAACCACCAGTGAAGTCGAATTTCTAGAGCAAGGGCATGGCAGCCCCTCTCCCCCTTCACAGCCCGTTCGCTGCGTCGCCGCTGCGCTCGACATCCGCCCCTTGGGAAAGAGGCGGGGGGGTGGTGTGGGGGGTGGAAGGAGACCTCTCCAGCGGGCACGGGGTCAGCCCGGGTGACCGAGTGGCAGGGAGACACTGCGGCACGGGGAGCGCGCCGCGCTTCCACACTGCGCTTTCGCTGCCTCAGCATTCGCTCCTTCGCCTCCCGCCTCCCCCACCCGTCCCCTAAGATCCCTAGCCTCCATACCCGATAGCTAGGCAGGCTGGACCAGACTGGGATCCGCCCTGCGTTCTTCCCCACAAGATCCCAAGTCTGGGGCTCATGAGTCCCAGGCCTGTTTCCACTTCTCCCCCGCACGCACGACAATGCCGCAGACCTCTGGGCCTCCATTCCCGAAGCTGCTCGGGGGAAATCCACACATGCGGGGGCCGCGGCATCCCCAAGACCCCTCCCAGGAGACCCCGGCCGGGCCCGGCCCAGCGCAGCCATTTCCGCCGGCCTCTCCTCCCTCCCCTACCTCCCCCTCCCTCAGCTTCTGGGCTTTAAAAGCCAGAGGCTGGGCCCGGCCGCAGGCAGAGGCGGCCGCGGGCGCAGGAGGCTGGGCCCAGGAGCTGTCCGAGCGCTGAGCCCCGCCCCCGGAGCCCCCGTCCCTCCCTCTCTCCTTCCCTCGGCCCGCCCTCCCTGCGCACCCCTCCCCCCGAGGACCCCCGCCCCCCGCTCGCCGCCGCCGCCGCCGCCGCCGCCGCTCGCTCCGGCTGCAGAACAATAAAGCAAGCCTCCTAGAGACCCCCGCCGAGGACCCCCGCCTGGCGGCCGAGCACCCGCGGCCCGCCCCTCGCCGCCCGCCGCGGCTGAGCGCGCCGGGTCGCTGGCCGAGGTGCTGGCCGGGCCGGCGCTGGCCGCGGTGCTGAAGCTGCTGGCGCTCCCGCCGCCGCCGCCGCCGCCGCCGCCGCGTTCTCCGGGCCCGGCGCCTCCACCCTCAGGGGCATGGGGGGTCGCTGACTGAGGCTCCGCCGCGGCGGTGGGGGGGGAGGGGAAGGGGGCCGCGGAGCCGGGCCAGCCCTGCACCCACTCGCAGCCTCCGGGCCCGGGACGGAGCCGCTCCCCCTTCCCCACCCCCCACCCCCCGGCCTCCTCCCCCGCCTGTCCAGGGGCGGCACTGCGGGCTGGGAAGCCGGGACCAGAGGAGGGAAGGAAAGAAGGAAGGAAGGAAGGAAGAAAAGAAGGAAGGAAGGAAGGAAGAGAAGACAAGACAAGAGAAGAGGAGAAGAGAAAAGAAAAGAAGAGAAGGAAAAGAGGAGGAATCCAGAGGAGCAGAGGAGGAAACGCAGGGCAGGCAGGCAGGCAGGCAGGCAGGAGGACGGTACTCCAGCGGCAGCATCCAAAGGCCAGAGTGGGGACCCGTGCTGCCTCCGCCGCTCCTCGGATGGTGACGGGGCCCCGCCGCGGCCGCAGCCCCCCCGCGCCCCGGCTCCGCAGGCCCGCAGCGCCGGTGCCCCGCAGGAATCATGCCCAGATCCTTCCTGGTCAAGAAGGTCAAACTTGACACGTTCTCCTCGGCGGACCTCGAGAGCTCCTACGGGCGCGCCCGCAGCGACCTCGGAGTGCGACTGCACGAGAAAGGTGCGAGCTGGGCTGAGGCTGGGGACAGCAAGGGGCCCAGGACAATGCTGGAAGGGGTAGAGGACCAGAGTATGGGGATGGAAGGGCCGGGGGCCTCAGGAAATAGACCCGAGGGAACCAGAACCAGAGGGAGACAGTGGCTGAAGCTGGACTGTGGAGGAAGGTGGGGAGAGGGGAACGCAGAGGCAGGCTAAAACAGGGCCAAGGCCGGGCAGGGAGAGTGTCAATGCAGGAGAGAAGGTGGGGAGCAAGGATCCGAAACAGGAAGTACCTGAAGGTACACACGGACCCACACCCTGGCTATGCGTATGGACACTTGCTGATATGACAGGACCTGCTATGCATGCAGACCCACACCCAGAAACCTGGGCCTTCCTGAGTATCAACCTCTCTTTCTTGGCTAGGGTCAGCAGAGTGCTGTGAGTTCCAGGGAGTAGGCATGGGTCCAGTGGGGGCCGCCACCTGTCAGGACTAGGGTACCAGCAGAGGGGCAGCAGTATTTCCCCTGCAACCAAAATAGGGAGGAGGATGTGGGCACGAGGGCTCTAAGTAGGGAGGTCCCAAGTGCTGGAATTAGGGGGAGGCTCTTTGTGTAAGGGTGCCCAAGTTCAAGGACAACTGTTAGCATGCAGGCAGGAGGGCTGGGAGTGCCAGCAGCGTGGGGTGTCGGAACAAGTGTGACCTGAGCCTGTGTGAGCCGAGCCTGTGTGTGAGCCTGTGTGCGCCCATGTGACTGCGTGTGGCCATGTGACTGTGTGCGCTTGTGTGTGACCCTGTATGAGTGTGTGCCTGCCTGTGTGCCACTACATGGGACCATGTGACTCTGAGGCCGCTGTGCACCCATGTGACTGGTGACCCTGGCTGAGTGTGTCCAGGGTGGCTGCATGTGTGACCCTGCATGAGTAGGTGGTATGCTGGGATCAGCGAGCAGCCCACCCTGGGAGGACACTCCAGGGCTGATGGTGGCTGGGAAGCTGGGTGTAACCCTGAACAAGCCAGAGGCCGCATCATGTGGTGCATGCATTTGTGACTCTGAGGTTGTGAGATCCATCTTGTACCTTGAGAACAACTGCAGTTACCGGCATTAATGATGCTGCCTGCCAGCAGCTTGTCCAGTGAAGGTGTCCCCTGGTGGGTGCCCTGGCACTCTCCAACGCAGCGACTCCCTGGTCGCCGGTCCTGAGGCTTGGGAAGGCCCTTACAAAGGGTTAGGGCCTGGGGGAAGAGGACTATGTGGAACAACGTAGGACCCAAGGGTACAGGATGAACGAAAGGAGTCAGGGAAGAAGCAGAGTGGATGGAGGAAGATAGGGCTGGAGCAGGAAGGGGGTCAAGTCCAGTGAGTAGTGGAAGACCTGGGAGGGAAGAAGGAGGTGCTAGAGAGGGTAGGAGGGGCTGCCGGAGGGAGAAGTCTTCAGGGCTTGTTGGGGGGCCTAGGGGACCAAGGAGGGGCAGCATCAAGCCTGGACACGAGTTCTAGGTGTCGAGGGGAAGAGCAGGTGGGAACCCCGAGAGGCAGAAGTGACGGGGTCCCTCGGTGGGCGGTCCCGGCTTTGTGCGCTGCGGGTCCGCAGTGTGTTGCATAATCAGGGAAAACTGCTGAAGTGGGGAGAACCCGAGGGGGAGGAGGGGTGGAGGAAGAAGGGCGAGGGAAGCGCCGCCCCTCCCCCCTGACCTTGAGGCTCCGCGGAAGGGGGGCAGCCGCGCCCGAGGATGCGCCTCTTTCCTCCCCCTGCGAGGGTGGGGCGGGCGGCGGGGGCGGAGCCGAGGCCCGGCCCAGTCTCATCTGTCCTCTCTTCTCTTCCCCTCCCCACCTCCTCCATCCTCCTTGCCCCGCGGTCCCCCGGCCCCTTCTCCTTTGTCCTTTTTCTTGTTCCCTCCTTCCCGGACCCCGTGTTTCCCGCCGCCTTCCCGTGTGTGTCTCGCCCGCTGGCCGGTTCCCCCTCCCTCTGTCTGCCTGTCCACCTCGGCCCTCAGGATACCTCAACGACTACGCGGGGCCCGCCTCCGTCTACGATGGCGATGCCGAGGCGGCCTTGCTCAAAGGGCCGTCCCCAGAGCCCATGTACGCTGCGGCCGTGCGTGGAGAACTGGGCCCGGCGGCCGCGGGCTCGGCACCGCCTCCTACCCCGCGCCCAGAGCTGGCCACAGCCGCGGGCGGCTACATCAACGGCGACGCCGCCGTCAGCGAGGGCTACGCGGCTGACGCTTTCTTCATCACCGACGGGCGCTCGCGCCGTAAGGCCGCCAACGCCGCCGCTCCCTCCACGGCCTCTGCCGCAGCTGCCGACTGCGACGGCGGAGGCGGGGCCGGGGCGGGTGCGCGCGGCGCGGGGTCGGGGGCCGGGGGCCGGGGCGGCGCGCGCGCGGGGGTGAGCGCGGAGGCGCGCGCGGGGCCCGGGGCTGGGGGCGCAGGGGGCCGGCACGCTTGCGGCGAGTGCGGGAAAACGTACGCCACGTCGTCGAACCTGAGCCGCCACAAGCAGACGCACCGCAGCCTGGACAGTCAGCTGGCGCGGCGCTGCCCGACGTGCGGCAAGGTGTACGTGTCCATGCCGGCCATGGCCATGCACCTGCTCACGCACGACCTGCGCCACAAATGCGGCGTGTGCGGCAAGGCCTTCTCGAGGCCCTGGCTGCTGCAAGGCCACATGCGCTCCCATACAGGCGAGAAGCCCTTCGGCTGCGCGCATTGCGGCAAGGCCTTCGCCGACCGCTCCAACCTGCGCGCGCACATGCAGACGCACTCGGCCTTCAAGCACTTCCAGTGCAAGCGCTGCAAGAAGAGCTTCGCGCTCAAGTCCTATCTCAACAAGCACTACGAGTCTGCATGCTTCAAGGGCGGCGCTGGCGGCGGGGGCCCCGCGGCCCAGGCGCCCGCCGCTTCGCCGCGGCTCAGTCCTGTGCAGGCCTAGGGCGGCGGTACGTCCGCCAGCCCAGACGGGTCGGCTCTCAGCAATACGGGCCCCCAGGGAAGTCTCCGCCAGCGCCCGGGCGGAGGGGCCGGAGGGCGGGCCCCACCTCACAGCAATAGAGGGAGGGGGCCCGGCCCCGCCCCGCCCGCCAGGGGCCTTGTCGGCCCCTTCAAGCAATAGGGTCCTGAGGGGAGACCCACCCCGAACCCTCTCCCTTCCCCTCCAGGGTGCCCCAGGCTTTTTCCCAGCAATAGGGTCGAGGAGACCCAGAACCGAACCTCATCTCCGAGTTAGGTCTCTGAAGACGGGGGTGGGGTGAGGTGGGGGGCACCCCCCTCCTCCCTCCTCTGCGCCCCTGGATAGCGTCGCAGAGACTCAGGTCTTCCCCACCCCTTTCCCAAGCCTTCCAAGGGCCAGGCCTGCGGCCTAGACGTCCAGGGGGCAGACGGGGAGGAGCAGGAGGGAGGGTCCTGCAGAGGCGTCCCTACTCCTCAGTCTTCGCTGAACCCCAGGAGTGATAGACGCGTTGGGGATCGGGGAGAGAGGCGGACGGCGGCACCCCTCTCCCTTGGGTTCTTTCTGGGCCCTCAGTCCAAGCCGCTCTCCCACCCTCGCCTCGCATCCTCTGCCAAATCCGAATTCTTCCAGCCCAGCTTCCCGGGCTCTGTCCTTCATAACGAATAATAATGACGCATATCGAATCGCATGGACTTATCCGACCTCCTCCGACCCCACTCCCGCCCTGCCCCGGGGCTCCCTCCCTCGTTCCCGGGCATTCGGTGTTGGAGGACGGATCCTGGGGCCCGGCAGGCAAGCCTGGGCACGGCCCATTACACACCTCTCTGTATTCGCTTTGCGGGTAAAGCCCCCTGGGGGGGTTGCGGATGCGTCGGGTTTCTTTCTTTCTGTATTTGTACGTTTTATTTATGAACGGATTGCACTCGGGTCGGGGAAGGGGCGCTGAGGCCCCCATCCTTCCCGCCGACGCCGGGGGCTTGGGATGTCCGGGATCATTTTCCCCGCCCCTGAACCCCGCCCCTACCTGGGCCCCACCCTCGAGCCCCAGGCCCCGCCCCCACTCTGTTGCCAACTTTCGCCCGTCTATGCCAAAGCCTCGGCGGCGACCCCGCCCCAAGGGCCCGCCCCATTGGCCGCCGCCTTTGTGACGTCACTGCATGCAGCCCCAACCCTCCTCCCGTCCCTTCCCGGGGCTGCCCGCTCCCTCTCCCTCTAGTTAGTCCGATGCCGACTATAGAGCAATAATGCGCACTGCATGCGAAGCTGCCGCCGCCTCTAGAGTTACTGAGAATCAGGTATCCCCCTGCCCTATCCACCCCATAGGCCCCTAGATCAGGGACATTGCGCGGGGCCGGACGCGCAGACTTTCTTCCCCTCCTCCTCCCTACCCCCCCACGGCAGAGCCCTGCGGGTGTAATGGTTCCAGGGGCCGGGGCGGGGTGGTTGCCCCCAAGACCCCTCCTTCAGTCATCCATCACCCAGCGACTGTTCATTGGGCACTTATGTGCCGGGCCCGCTGCAGAGTCGGCCAGGGATGCAGCGACCTGCAAGGGGTGCATGTTCGCAACAGGGGTCCATCAGGTTCGGGTGGGCCAAGGAGAGCTGCATATGCAGAGAAAGGCCTGGTCCCTAGACCCAACCCTGCATCCCCCTTACCTCTTCCCGCCCCAGCCCGGGTCCAGTGCTGGGTGCAGTTGGGCTCTACCCATTGACTTGCACCTGGTGTTCTCAGCTCAGGTGGCACAGACCCAGGGCCCCAAGGCCCAGCACGACCAGGGCCACCCATACCGACTCTCAGTCCTTCCATCTTCTGGCCACCTGGGCTCTGCTGTGTGGGGCCAGGGCCCCAGGCCAGACAAAAGGTGCACGCTGGAGTGTATGACCTGGTCAGCCCCATCCCAGTGGGCCCCAAGCTGCTACCTAGCTGCACCTGCAGGAGCGGACTGAGGGCTCAGCACAGCAGGGCCCATATTCCAAGTCCTCTGTACCACAACTCGGAGTCCACACAGCTCCCAAGCTGGGGCCTGCCCTCCTGTGCTGGGGACACCCGCATGCACACGCACACACAGGCGCCCCACCCTACCCCGATACGCCTGTCTACCTACCTAAGGAGAAGGCCAGAGGGCCATGGGCCGGCCAGGGTCTCCCGCTTCTCCCTACACCCCGCCGCCGTGGAAAGCCATGGGCCCCCTCCCGCCCCCATAACTAAGCAGCACAATAACCGACTTAGCGAATTCAGGTAGAAGGAACGTTTAGGTAGCACCTATTTTGTACTGATTCTACGAGTAGGGCCCGAGATGCGGGGGCCCTCGGGTGGGGGTTGCGGCCGCCGGCCTGCCCCGCCCCCACCCCCGCCTGCGCCCCGCCGCCTTGTACATACTCCCACCCGGAACAGGCCGGGATTTTTACTCGGGCCGCGCCCCTCTTCCGCCCCCGTTTGGGGCTGGGCCGGCCGGACAGACGGACGGACGGACAGACCTCCTTCCTAAGCACAATAGCACCAGCTCCCCGGAGCGCCGCACCTCCACAAGGAGAATAAATGCCACTCTTGATAGAACTTGGAGTGTCGGGTTGATGTATCCAGTGCTGGGCCCATGCCACAGGGGGCGCTGGGATGTCCGGGGGTTGTCTTCCCAGTCCTGCTGCATCCCAGAGGCAAGACTGTGCAGGCGCAGCGCTGGGAATGGCAGCCTGCCCATGCAGCCCTGGGGTCGGGTCACAGGCTTTGTGCAGAGTGCACCAGTGTCCTTTTTCGCAGAGGGCTATCTTCGTCCTCCCAGAAGGGCCAGCTTGGCAGGCCAAGCCGTGGGAGAAATCCCCTGAAGGCAAAACAGTTGGCATTTGTCCTGTGGCAGGTTCATCTGCTCTGGGCCAGGAACTGAGGGAGCTAAGGGTCTCCAGCCTGAAGTCAGACCCAGCCCAGAAGAGATCTAGAGTCACCAGAAGTAGGTACAGCAGGGCCTGCAGACCTACGGCCTACTCTCCCTGTAGGGGCTCCTGCTGCCCCTAGGGCCTGACAGCCACCAACAAGCCCTCCTCATGCCAGTGGAGGAAAGGGGGACAGCAGAGGGTGCAAGGTCTAGCCCCTTACTGCTGTGTGCTGCCCACACCCTGACCCCCCCCCCCCCCCACTGTCTGAGGAGGCCTCCAAGGACAGCTGACCTATGCTGGTTCCGGGGAGGTGCCACCCAGGGGACAAGAGAGGCTTCCACAGCCACCCACAGCCCTTGAGTTCTAGACAGGATGAATCAAATTGAGATGAGGGGCGGGACTGTGCTAGTTAGGGACAGCCCAAGGACAGGGACCCCCTGCCCCAGCAATGCCTTCTGATACCCAGGTAGGCAGGCATAAGCTGAGAGGCCCAAAGTCTTTGGAGACATGTAGTCAAACTAAGTCATCCCAGAGCCAGCTGTCTGAACCCTGGCAGGAGATAGGCCTGCCCAGAGTGAAAGTACCTGCTATTGGGAGAGGTCAGTGTCCAGCTCCTCATGCCCAGGGATCCTTGACTTTCACTGTCCCCAGGCTGGGGTAGGCTTTATAGCCCAATTTGCATATGAAGAATCAGCCTCAGGGAGAACAGCTTATCCAAGGCCTGCCTTGGACACAAGCCCTTCCCCAATACCCTACCCACCCTACACCTGCAGTCACACCTGAGTGAGGAATGCTCATTCCTTCCCAGCTTCGGGGTCTAGACTGGCTGTCTCTGCTTCTCCAGGACCCTGAGGGGCAATGGGGTGGAAGGATGGAATCTGCCTCCCTGAGGCCTGGAACGGGTTCAACCCTCAGTCTCCACAGATTTCCATGGACAGGACTTTGCATCCCAGAGAACGGGCAGTGCAGACTGCTGACCACCCTGTCCCATGTCTACCAGTTGGCCAGACCCTTCACAGGCCTCAGTGGCCTTCCTGTGGCACCTCAGCCACAGGCTGAGCTTCTAAGCTCTGAACCTCTTCCAGCCAGGCCTGCAAGTCTCCTGGCCTCTAGTCCCCTAATCAGTTGCTTCCCCTGGCAGGGAAATCCCCACTGAGCTTTCTTCGATAACCCCTCTTGTACACCTTTGTCACCAAAAGCAACCCCACCTACCTTGACCTTTCCCCTCTCCCCTGGTGCCCTCGGCCTCATTTTCCCCTGGACCCTGAGGTAACTGGCGCTGCCGGCGCGTTCTACAGCTCCTGCGCTGACCCTCTCCCAATCCCAAAGACCCGGCCCGCCCACTCTCTCCCACAGGCCTCCCTCCCTCCAGGCCCCGCCCCCGCCGGTACTGAGGCTCTTCCTTATTGGTGCTCTCACAGCCCGTGCCTGCCTATTAACTCGCTGTCCTGTTCTCCTCGCGCTCCGCTCCAGTGCGCGGGACTGGTCCTCTCCGGTGATCCCTCTTCCACTCTGGTAGCTTCACTCCTGCTGTCACTTGCCAGCCAAAGGCTTGGAGCCGGACGTGGACGCAGGCAGCCCCTTCCAAAATGACTCTTCACCCTTTATTGACTACTGACTCAGCCTCTCCAGGCCTACTGGGAGCCTGAGTCATCAATCTTCTCTGACAGCCTGGGTGGGCCCTGTAGTTCTTGGCTCTGTATTGGAAGGATGGCACAGCCAGAAGGCACGCGTGGGCGCGCGTGGCAGAGCTCCCAGGGCTCATTCCTACGCTCCAGGCTCCCGAGAGGACCCTCTTCTTTGTTCACCCTCCCTTGGGATCAGTATTCAGAAAGGCCTCGCCCTGCCTGGCCCAGGCCAGCCAGTGAACAGGCGCAAGTTCTGAAAGACTGGATAGGAGACGAGGATGAGCCTGACTCACCGAGGTCGGGCTGTGTAGGCATGCGGGAGGGGCTCTCCTGCCCAGTCAGGGCAGCCCCTTTGGCAGGTTACTCAAAGACACCTGCCAGGTAGCCCCAGCCTGCCAGGTAGGGATGACAGGCTGGTTACCAGTCCCAGATGACCGAGTGGCAACGGGAATGTGTCACCAGGGGGCCCAGGCACTGTGGTGA